TCTAAAGCAAAAATAAGGAGATGAAAGAGCAAGAAATACTCAGAGGACAGTGACATGCAATGCAGAAGAGTATAGTTAAGGTAGGCTGAGGCAGATTCAAATCTCTTTGCTGGGATCTTAAAAGTTTAAATTTTATCTGATAGATGTAAAGACTAGAGAATTTTAAAGCATGGAAAGGACATGATTATAATTGTGCCTTTGCTAATTCTGGTACTACTTTGTAAGTCAGAGTTGAAGAGAAAAACTGGAGTCAAAAGTAGTATTTGAGAAGCAAGTAGACTTGAAGGGAAAGATGCAAAAAAAGAAAAAAAATACTTAAGTTTTATGGCTGGTAGACTATAAGAATGGTCCTATCAAACACTAAACATTGAGAGTTCAAGATAAGTAAAAAGATAGGCAAATATCAGTAGTTTAGATAGGTAAAAGTGCTAGTAATACAATGTATACAAATAGAAATGTGTACTGAGCAGCTAGAAATGAGACACTAAAATGTGAAAAGAGATCAGGACAAAGACACACCTGGGAGCATTCAAATAGAGGTGAAAAGATAGTAAGTGGCTACACTTTTCCAAGAAGATTGGTAAATGCTGAGGATTGAAACATACTTACATTACTGAAGGGAGTAAAAAGTGAGGAAGTCAGGGGGTGGTGGATCAGTTTCATTTTCAACACATATATGTCAAAGACATGAGGACCAAGAAAAAGTAGTCACTAAGTTTACTGCTTAAGAAATTACTGATGACCTTTAGTATATTTTTAGTAGCGCCAAGGACAAGAAAGGGGAATGAAAGTCAAATTATAAAGAGAAAATAAAAACCTAAATGTCATAAACAGGGAAAGGATTAAAAAGAGTGGTATGTTAAGATGGATATTTTATATATATATTCTTTAATTGCTGCATGGCACAGAGCTCAAAACAGTATTTTAAAAAGCAAATGTAAATTAATTTAACTTTTAGAAACAAAAAACTATTATATAACATATATAAGACAGGAAGACTATAAACCATTTATGGTAGTGGGTTAGGTATGGGGTGATATGGGACTGGGGATACTGGTCAAAGGTGACTTTGTAAAGTTTCTACTTTGTATATACAGATGGAAGTAAATATAACGAACTGCTATGACTTTTTAAAATTTATTGATTCTGTGGTAGAAGGGAGGAGGAAGAAAGGCGAGAGATGAGGGGGAGAGAGAAAGGGGGAGGGAGAGAAACAGAAATATTGGTTTATTGTTCCACTTATTTATGCATTCATTGGTTGCTTCTTTTTCACACCTTGACTAGAGATTGAGCTCACAAACTTGGTTTATCTGGATGATGCTCTAACCAACTGAGCTACCTAGCCAGGGAACTAATTCCTAATGATATAATTCCAAGAACTGCCCTGTAATTGACAAAATTGGATAGAGGCGATTAAAGAGAATGAGAAATTGCTTTAACGGAAACTAAGATGGTTATATAAATCAGAAGACAATAAAGTATGATCCTACCAGAATATTCTCTGAAGGAATGTATATGTGTAGTTAACACCCTCACAAAGAAAAGATTCTAAATCACTTTGCACTAAAGGAGGCAGGCAGGGAGCAAATTATTCTACTCGCTTTTCCTTCATCTGACTGTTCTGGGAACACTGGCTTCATGCCCTGCCAACTCACCAGGTGCAAGTAAGTGATGCAAAACAACCTCAACAAATTCCTGAGTGTTTACTGTGAGATGGGGTACACAGAAGTCAAATTTCCAGAAGCATTTCTGAGGAGGCCCAGACCATGAATCTGAGGTCCATTCTTATAGTTTGTTATTCTTTGTATTCTCTACACATTTAACCCTAATTTTGAGATGCCTCCTTAAAGAAGTGTGGCAATGAAGAAAATAAAAACTGACCAAGGTTCAGAGAGCTAAATAATAAAGGGTTTGAGTTTATAAATGGTTATTATTTCAGGTCAATGATTTGTGACCCCAAATCATCCATGACACTAAAAAAAACCCCCACAACTTCCCCACTACCCTCAAACAACTGTTTACTGACAGCAATTTAAAAGTTTATATAAACAGTTGCTTATTGTTTATAAAAATGGAAGACAAAAAAAGCAAGCTATATATCTACACATGTGTATATTCTTTCCACCTACAAATACTGTAATAATAAAATGTGTCAAGATAAATAATTGCTAAACTAACTTTATTTATTTCACAAAAGACAATTCAACTTCTGATATAAGTTGCCATTAGTTTAAAAACCCTGTAAGATTAAGTGGTATAAACTAAACATACCATTCATGTAAACCATTAATCACCATCTTCATCGTATTTGACAGTTTATGGGACACAAACCTCACTAGAATTTAAGCTTCATATAAGTAATTTTTTGGTTATGTTCATTACCATATACCAAGGACCTACAATAGTACTGAGCACATGTAGGCACTCAATATTTAATAAATAAATTCAGTAAGTACAAATGTTTAATTCACTATAAAAAACCTAATTTTTAATCGAGAAGCCAAACAATTATGTATTATATTGTTTCCTTACTCTTCTTGAGAATAAAAGCTGCACTGAAGAAATCAAAATATGAACAGGTTTCAGAGCTCAATTCTGTTCCTCAAAAATTGCCATCCAAGGACCAAGCTGGGGGAAAGCCAAACTCAAGGCAAGAATTATGGGCTCCTATAGGCTATTAGTATGCTTCAAACGAACCCATCAAGTACCTTTGTGTTCAACTTGTATTCTGGACCAGCCCAGATTAATGTAACTATGAAAGAGATAGGGGGCAGGGAACTGCCACATTGGATTGTTACACTAAAATCTTAAGTACCTTCTGTATGCCTAATATATGCATAACATTTTATTGTTTTATAAAGTGCGTATACCTGTTCTCATTTGATATAATCCTGTGAGCTAGAATATTACCATTCTATAAAGGTAACTCCAAAGTTGCAGAGCTAGTAATTGGCAAAATGAGAATTTCAAGACTTTGGTCTCTAAACTAGCCCAAATTTTTCTCACTAAACTGTACCATAAAATAATGCCTTAGGATTTAAGGTAGTGTTTTCCAACCACATAAGAAACATCTGGAAAGCTTTTGAAAACAGAGATGCTCAGGACCCAGCCTCCAAAAATTTGTAATGTAATTGGTCTTGAGCCAGCCATCCAGCTGGCTTTAAAATACTCCCCCAGGTGAGTCTATTGTAGAGGCAGGTTGACAAGTACTGATTTAGTAATAGATAATAAAGGTCTTTGAATGCCATCTTAAGAACCTACCTTGAGGTATGTCAAAAAGGTAAAGATGAGGATGAGCTAGTATTACTTACAGTCACCTGCTTCAGTAAGTGCAACCAGAATTTTCAAGTTTCTGTTGAGAAGTTTTAAATGCCTCACTAGCACTCCTTGGCTTTTTACTTTTATGGAACTCTCCAAAGAACATATGAAAGCCAGGTCAGCTTCTGGACACACAAACTTTTCTAAAAGTCACTTAGCTAAAAGTGAAAGCTGCAGGCACTCAGGTATTTAATTACCAAATTATAAAATACCCTGCCTGAGAATGGAGTCTCATCTTATTGGAACTGGCAATGGCAGGAGGTAGCTTCTCTGGGCATATTTCTTCAGTAGTCCTATGCAGTTTGCCAGTAAGCTAAATTGTAATTAAAAAACAAAAACAAACAAACAAATAAACAAAAGAAAACCCTGGTAAATTACCAGACCCCCCAAGACAACTGGGGGAAAAGACCAAAATAAGAAAAGAAAGAAAAAAGTCATGTACTTGTTCATAAAATGAATATTTATTGATAACCTGCAGAGTACAAGCTCTGTTCTATGGTTCAAAATAAATAATGATGACTAAGTTTCTGCCCTCCAGGAACTTCCATTAAAAGAAAAAAAAAAAAGGAGTGTTAATACAATTTGACCTGAATGGTCAAGGTCAGCTGGATGAATCACTAGGTCATCCCAAGTGAAAAAAATACCATGCTTTCTACTAACTTAGATGTCTCAAAAATCTAAGTTCCAAAGGAAATGTCTCATTTGGGGAGGAGATTTGTACTCTGGATGTGGCAGATCCAAACAGCATTTGACTGGATATAAATTCACTTAAGGGAGGACTTTCATTTAACGCCTTACAGTTGGATGGATCTTTGCTCAGCACAAAGAGCTGTACCACTTGCTGAACTAGGTGGCAAGTGGTGCACTGAGAGTAGTAAGCAAAAATAAACATTATGGATTAGCCCGTAGCATTGGCTATGCCACGAAATTATAAACTGGCTGGGGGGAAATGTGGATTAAGCTTCAAAAATTCAAGGTGGAACCCAAGGCCTAGAATTTAAACAGCAGAGGGCGGTTCATCTGCTTTCACAGCACCCCCAGGAATGGGCAACTGGCCCCAACACTGATGAAACTTTCTCGTGAACTCAATGAATCTTAATATAACGCTAAGTGTTCAGTGTTGGATTCATGTGGTTTTCTATAACCTCTCCTTTGGTCTGATCATTAAAGCTCCCTTGCGGATACTATCGACCTTACAGTGTAGGCGTGGGGAGGGCTGAAGTCATCCTCTCAGTCTTTCCAAAAGATAGCTTATCCTCGTTTTTCGGAAAGAATCTTAAAATTGTAGAAAGATCATTTCCCTGAAAGATGGTTTGGTTCTTCTGGCCAGTGACATCACTAACAGACGTGTTACAACATAGTTTGGGGGAAGGAAAGTAAGAAATAAAAAAAGAAACTAAGTCTGTGGGTTAAAACGAGTCCCTACCATTTCAAAACGGCATTCCAACAGTACTGGACACCTCTCCCTAAGTTTTGCTTTAAGTCGGCGCAGCCAGGCTCTGTCCCCCCCACCCCACCCCGCCTCCCTCCGAGTACGAACCGCAAACTTTCTGCCCCTCACGCGGCCCCCAGACAGCCGAACTCCTCCCCGCACGCCCCGCTGACGAGGAGCCTCCAGGCTGGACGCGGGCAGGGCCCGAGCGGCTATCCGCGACTCGCGCGCTCCCCCCAGCTGCCCATACCTGTCCAGCATCTGCTGTAGGGCTTGGTCGGGCATCTTCCGCGGAGCCGGCGCACCCGCCAAGCCAGTGAATCCGGTCACCGCCCGGCCCAGGGACAATAGCACTGAGAGGTGGCGGAGTAGGCCTCAGTCCCGCGACAGCCGCGAACCTGCCACCCAGCCTCCCGGGGCAGCTCCGCGAGCCCCGAGGCGGCCGTGCGCGGCGTCCGGACGCCTAGAGGTGGTGGCGGGGAGCGAGGAGGAGGAGCCTGGGGCGGGGAGGCGACGATCGCGGCCGGGGTTCCTGCCCGTCGGCCCGGGGTTCCGGTCCATGGACTGCGGGCGCCGAGTTGCTGCCGGCAGAGGAGCTACCTCTGTGAGGTAAGAGTCACCGCCTCCGTGCGCGCCGGGGTCGCGACGCAAGGCGGCCCAGAGCAGCCTGGGAGATGTAGTCCTCGGACCGTCCCCACTAGAGGCTGCACAGGCAGTCCGGACCACCGCCGCCGCGCCCGTCCCCCGCCCGGCCGGCGCCCTCCTGTTTCCTTCCTCCAGGGGGAAAAATGTGCTTTGGGCCGCTTTCCAGGAAGCAGCAGGATGTGCCGCTCCACTGTCAGTAGCAACAAGGTCAGTCCTTTCTGCTTGTTTCTTTTCTACTCAGCTGTTGCCCTCAGGTGGGACCGAGCCAGGTGAGGGGGAAGGGGCTGAAGGGCCATTTCTCGTGGGGGTCCCTAGCCCCGGCCGTGGCGTCGGTCACCGTGGCGGGTTTGGGGTGGCTCAAGTGCCTTCTGAAGCCCTAGACCCCTGTCGCGTCGGAGTCTATTTTGGGGAGTCACACAGCTTCGCAAAGGGTCGGATGCTCTAGTCCGTGGGGCGGGTAGGCAGGGTCTACCTTAACCAGCCGGTTCCCACCCGAGTCATTATGTGATTGGGGGTGGGATGCGGGGAGAAAAGATGATCTCTGCCTCTCTAGGAACCTTCTAAAACGTGTCTGGGCTTTCAAGGGCTCGCCGACAGTCTCCAAATGGGACATGGTCATTAATAAACAGCTCTTGCTTACTCAGCTGTGGGTTGTCAGGGGTGTTTGTTTCTCTTTGCTGCTGGTCACTGTTAACCATTTCTAGTCGCCTTGACACCTCCAAGCAGGTGGATGTGTGTGTGTGTGTGTGTGTGTGTGTGTGTGTGTGTGTGTGTGAGGATGGGGGTGATCAAAAGGGAAAAATGATAAATCACTGGTTGGGTTATTATCTGACGCCCTAGGGACAGCTTTGGCGGGAGGAAAGAGCTATTGGCTAAAACAAATGCGTCTTTTTGGGCAACCTGTGGAGTCCTCTAGCGTTGTGATTAGTAGGACGTCTGGTAGTTTTTCCTTGATTATGCCTAATTTCTGCTGGAAGATATTTGACTTTTCTTTAAGTTAAAACGTGTATTTTAAGCTCTCTTTTATGTAGAATTTTACTGTCAGCTCTTAACTCTCTGTTTAAAGTTTGCTTCCTGAATATATTTGAACTAGAGTGTACATTGCCAGGGAGGAAAAATAACTTGTGACCAGAAGTTTATTTGGCCTTCAGTCTCTGAAAGATGCTTTTATGAAAGGGTTTGGGAATTTACATGGTGAATTACAATTAATGTTTCACCTTTTTTTTATAGAATGAGAAACAGGCCCCCCACTCGGAGAGGGAATAAATCTTTAATTTAATCAAGGTGTTTGGTATTTTCAACTCCTATTTATTGCTTCTACTGTGTAAACCTTCCCTTGCTGTATATCTCTTAAGCGATTTTCAGCCACAGGAGATGAATATATGCATTCCTCTAAAAAAAAAATAGGTTTTGATCCTGGCATGTTGATTAAATAGGCCAGTGCAAACTCAGTTTAATGATTTACATTAAATGTGAAGGAATTCTCACCTCATCTTGGAATTTCTGTATGAACCCCAAATTGGAAAGTAGTATGACATAGTTCTTTTGATAGCCAAGCTGTGTGAAGATTAATCTTATTATTTTTAAAAAAGGATTCGGGGTGGGCTGGGATGGGAGTAAAAGACAAAACTGTATATGAACAACAATTAAAAAATTTTAAAAAGGATTCAATATTAGCATTCACATGAAAATTATGTTTCCTGGCTCTGTTACAAATCCTTTGAAACAGAAAAAAGAAAATGTTGTTTTTCATCTTAGAAGTGATTAGCTCCTGACCTAATTTCACTCCTTGGTATCTACCCATGAAAAATAAAAAAAACGTATGTCTACACACAGATTTGTATTGCAAATGTTCATAGCAGCATTATTCCCAATAGCCAAAAAAGTAGAAACAACCCAAATACCCCTCAATTGAGGATGAAAGTATTCTAAAATTGATACAGTGATGATTGAACAGCTCTGTGAATGTACTAAAAGCCACTGAATTACACCCTTTAAATGGTGAATTTTATGGTGTTTAAATTATATATCCATAAAGCTATTTAAAATAATACCAGGTAAAACCTTAAAATCCATTATTAGTAGACTGACTCAATATGTTATTCATGTAATATAATATTATATGGCTGAGCCATCAGTTAGGACTCCCTGCTCCTCCCCCAGAAATCAACTCTAGCTAATTCAGCCCCACCTAGGGGACATTCATTATTGTCTGGAGGTGTTTTTGATTGTTACACTAGGGGATGCTGCAGGGATCTGGTGTAGAGACCAGGGATGCTGCTAAATATACCATAATGCATAGAATAGCCCCTCACAACAAAGAATTATGTAGGCCAAATGTCTATTGAGCTGAGGTTGAGAAACTCTAAGCTAACTTGGGCAAAAGGAAATTCATTGGAAGGATATGGGTGCGCTCACAGACTTGAAAGTGGGGCAGGAGCACCAGGCTGGAAATAGTTAAGTACCAGTTACCCTAGAGAATCTTGGTAGCAGAAACTTTCCATGCTCTTGTACTGGGTTCAGCACAGGAATGAATACATTCCAATGTTTTTATTCTGTTTAAGTTCAAAATTGAAAGAGGGAGCATCGAATCAATCTTCCTTGCCACTTGACTAAGGGAGGGCAGTATACCTTGAATACTGGCAGTTCCTCATAAGGAAGAACATTCATTAGTAAATACCTATTGACCATATATTTATGTTCTAGGTACTTTTAAATTTTTGTTATCGATTTTTAAAAAGATTTTATTTATTTATTTTTAGAGAGAGGGAAAAGGAGGGAGAAAGAGAGGGAGAAAAACATCAATATGTGGTTGCCTCTTGTGCACTCCCCACTGGGGTCCTGGCCTGAAACCCAGGCATGTGCCCTGACTGGAAATCAAACTGGCTACCCTTCAGTTTGTAGGCTAGCACTCAATCCACTGAGCCACACCAGCCAGGGCTTGGTGTTTTTTTTTGTTTGTTTGTTTTGTTTTGTTTTTAGAGAGAGAGATTTAGAGAGAATGCATTATTTATGCATTCATTGGTTGATTCTTTTAAAAATGTTTTATTTATTGAGTTCAGAGAAAGGGAGAGGAAGAAACATTGATTTGTTGTTTAACTTATATTTGTATTCATTGATTGATTCATGTATGTGCCCTCACTGGGGATCAAACCTGCAACTTTGGCTTATTGGACCATACTCTAACCAACTGAGCTACCCAGCCAGGGCTCCATGGGTTGATTCTTGTACATGCCCTCACTGGGTATCACATCCTCAGCCCTGGTATATTGGGATGATGCTCCAATCAACTGGCTACCTGGCCAACAAGGCTGTTCCAGGAATTTTTTTAGATGCTAGGGATAGGGTAGGGCAAAAGAGACAAAAATACCCTCATGGAACTTATTTATGTGATGCTAAATCAGTCTAAATCTTTAAGGAATAACTTAAAGAATTTCGAATAGTTGCAAAATACCAGCACCAATAAATACTGCCTACACGTTTAGTGAAAAATGCACAGAGTAGATTGTATTTATAGTATTACCACATTTACTTTTTTAAAAAATTTAGCAAGTACAAGTGAGTGGGTTGCTAGGATATAAAACTTTTAAAAAATATTACCTCTGGATATGGGGAGAGGAGGCTACTTTTTATTTTACTTTCTTATGCTGTCTTCACGTCTCACCATGGGGATGTATTTTATAGTTTAAAGTTTTTTAATTAAAATAAAAAAGAAAATTTGTGGTACAAGTGAAGGATGATTAATGGCTTTTCAAAGTCACAATATTATGATTTTTTACCTATTATGAAAAAGCAGAAAGGAAGAATATCTGACTGGAAAGTGAGACCTGTAATTATTCAACAAATGTGTGTTGAGCACCTAGCTGCCTTAATTTCTTTTTGGAAAAGGTGAAATAAATAAAATATCAAGCAGCAGCCATGTATGAGACATGCTGTGAAGTGCTGTACCTGGTAGAGGATTAAAATTTGAAAGAGATGTAACAACTGCCCTCAATGGATACTTGTTGGCATGTACTTATTAAACACCTAATATGTGGCATGTGCTGCCCCCTTTACATAATCTTAAATCCTAACAATAGCCCTATAAGATGGGTGGTGATACCTCCCATTTCACAGGTGAGAATATTGTAAATTGGAAAGATGAAGTCATAGCAAATAAGTGCCATACTTGATATTTGAATCCAGGTGTATCTGACTACTGGAAAACAGTATATTATTATAGTATGTGAATAGTTAAATAAGTATTAATATCACAGGATTACCCATGATTAATTTTTGAAGAACTTTACAGATAGGTAGCCCGGGAGCTCAGAAAAGAAGTTACTGCATATTAGAGTAGTCAGGGCAGGCTTCCTGGTGGAGGAGTGGTTTGAAAGTCTTGAAGGAGGAGTATTTGGATGTGTAAAGAGAAAGACAGAGCGTCAATCTTTATGGAATGCCTGCTTGAGGCCAGAAATATCTCACCTAATCCCCATAGCCTGATTTGAGAGGTGAGGAAACAGGGCTTCTCTTACTCCTACCCAGGGATAGGCAATTAATAGGCATTCATTTTTGGTGATCTTATAGGTGCAAAGTGAGATTTTATTACTGTAGCCCAATGTTTACCTCTATTTTATACCTTCTGGGTTTTACATCTTGGGTAAGATGAATTCATGATAGGAGAGAAAGTGTACATACAAACTAGTAAACTAGGACACAGTCTTTTAGAAGTATAGATATTCAGCATAGTTTCCTTCTACTTAGGGAATTTTAGGCCTTTTTGGGGGCATTATATTTAACTTGACACCCTTCAGCTGAAATCTCAACTTGGTAAGTCTGAGGAAGATCACCTATTCAGTGATTTATTCAGCATCATTTCTTGAGTTCCAACTGTGTGCCTCACACTGGGGGAGATATTGGGGTTAAAAAGTGAATAATACATTGTTACACTGTTCTTTCCATCATG